CATACCACACAACATGAATCAAACATGTACTTTATTTATTTACACTAAATATCAAAAGTACATCAAAACTGATTGGAGCTAAGGGCATACAAAACTGTCTAACATTATAAACATAACTTAAAGAAAAATAAAGAAATTAAGACCCATTCGGCCCATTCTCACTACATTGTGAAAGCAAATTCACTAGGTTATTTTCTTTTTCATTGGGTCTTCTTGATTTAGTGGATTTCTTTGTGTTTTTCTCCCAATTTAACCCCTTAAATCAAGAATCAAATGGTTTATTTGATGCAATGACTTTCTTGAGTAATAGAGCAACCCTTTCTACACCTTGTTTGGCAATTTTATAAGATGTGTTCATCAGATTCTTTGTAATTGTGACTTCCAGATCAAACTTGGGTCTCAATACTATTTCTACATGGAGACACAAACTGCACTTGCTGTACCAGATGAAGATAATTGCATGGTGGTTTATAGTTCAACTCAGTGTCCTGAGAATGCCCAGATTGTAATTGCAAGATGTCTTGGTGTTCCTAACCATAATATCCAAGTGATTACAAGAAGGGTTGGAGGAGGTTTTGGTGGAAAGGCCATAAGGGCAATACCTGTGAGTATTTTTTTTAAATTTTAAAACTGAAATTTTTTTAAAGAAATACTTATTTCTTCTTGTGTTTTGTTCATACTTTTAATTTCCTTATTAAAATTGTACTTTTAATTATAAAAGTAACTAAATTGAAATGATATAGAACTTCCCCAAGTGATCCACTAATAAACCAAAATGTCTGGTTAATGTGATCACCTGTTTCACTGAGCCATAATTTCTGCTAAATGGTTTTTTAACCAATCTTCATAGCTTGGAATTGATAGGATATGCTTAAAAAAACGAAAAAGAAAAAAGGAAAAGAAAAAAGATATTGTCATGTGGATACTCTAGTTAAATACATGTGCCTGTCACTTGTACCTATGCTATTAAGAGAGTCTTGATTTATTGTTCCTCTGGTTTACTAGTAGGCCCTTTAATCAATATGTTCTATATATAAGTAAGGATGAATTCCACATCAGATTTCCTACTCTCCCTATCCCCTCAAAATGTCCTCCTTTTTCTGAGCTTTCAGATAAATAAAATAATGTAAAGTCACTTTGATTGTCCATTGTCTTCTCTCATAATGAAACACAACTTCTACTTGTCTGGTACAGAAACAATATTTCAAAAAACAAATCAGAAATTAATGATTGAAGAGAAAGTAACTTCTTTTCATGCAAACATATCTGCATGATGTTATCCAAGATGGAAGGGAGATGGAAGGAGCTTCATACTGGCAACAAAATGGAGGGAGGTTACAAAAGAGAAGAAAAGATTGCTGTTCGAAGAATCTGGTGGAGGTTCAGCTTTGATGATCAGGGGCTTGGCGAATAGGTGAGGTGAGCCTCCAAGAGCGCCTTGTTGCCTAGGCGTCACCTTGACAACCATGCATCCTAATTCAAGAATCCAAGGTTCTGAGGAGTTCTAGGTTGTCTTAGGCTGCATTGTCTGCTATGCTTTGTTAGGATGACCATTTATCCATTGGCTTCACTTAGTTCCTTCAACATTTCATTAGTGTGTCAAGGGTGTGCACAAGGGGAAATAGGTGCAAATCCTAGGAACTAAGGCCCCTTTTGTGTCCTCAGGTTCACACTTGCACAATGTAGTCTATTCAGTGATTTAAAAGGCGCATCTTAGGTGCACCCAGGCATATAGGTGAGGCACATTTTAGGATATGCGCCTTGCCTAGGTCCTAGGTGCAGCACTTTCAAAAGGCGTGTGCCTGGTGCGCCTTGCACTTTAGCCCAAGTTTGTGCCTTTTGAAAATCTGTGCGTTTTTCTCTTTTTTTTTTGTGTTTAGCAGCCCCCAGACCCCTGGCCAAGCCCCTCGAGGCAAGCCCAAACAAGTCCAGACCAGGGTCTTTAATTCTTAATCTCTGTAAAAAAAGGTTTTATAACTTTGTCTTTTAAAAACATCTTTTATTAGGATGAATGAATGAGCAACATTAGCAAATATGGGGTTGCTGAGTGCAAGAATAGACACTTATAGGGAATGGGGTTGCTAAATGCAAAAATAGACACTTATTAGAGATAGCTCGAGCTCTACTATTTCAGCACAAGATGCCCAAGAACTATTGGTCTCAAGCAAACCTTATAGCCTCATATATGATAAATCGGGTGCTATCTAGGGTGTTGGGCATGAAAACACATTTTTTGTGCTTTGTCCTACTCTTGATGATTTCCCCTTCCTCTGAGAGTCTTTGGTTGCGTATGTTTCATCCATGTCAAGGATCCCATGATTTTATTGTTACTTTGTTTTATTTTTTTGTCACACTATACATGGATGCACACGGCCATCACAATGACTCCTATGTAATCTGATTTTTTCTTGTCTTTCCCTTCTAAACAATTCACACAGAATAGTGTAAATCATTACAGTTACATTGATGGTAAATGTGCTTTGAGTCATGGAGGAAAGACTTGCTGTGAGGATTGTTGTTGTTTGGTCTATAAATATTTTTTTGGGTATTCAGGATATGCATATATTGGTCTCTGGAATGAATAGTTGTTGTCAATTCAGCCACTTTTTGATTTTTTTTGTATAATTCTCGTGGTTATTATTTATTGGTGTTATTACACCTACATTTATACCCTATATTCTGGAATGTTGTTGGTATAGGTGTAAAATGGGCTGGACCGCCCATGGGTCAGCCTGGCTTGGCACAACATGGGCCTATATATATTGATAGAATTCAGGTATAGTGTTCTTATAACTCCAAATAATAATAAGAAGAAGAACCTATAGAAATAGTAGGGAGAAGAGAAGAAAAGAGAAGAGAAGAGAAGAAGAGAAAACTGTTCTGGTCGAACTAGAGAAGAAAGAATCAACTCTCTAGTCGGTTATTTATACCTTTCCAAACAAACCAGAATTACTCTTATGCCCTCACTTAAGTGAGTGACACATCATCTTGAAGGGATGAGAGATCCATCATATGGATGGCCGAACCCTGTAGGAAGGTTGGGCGAAATTTCAAAAATTTCTCTCTCCTATGTGGGAATCGCATTCTCTATTTTAGAAAACTGCATTTTCAAGGATCAATCTTGCACCTAAACCAGACCAGATCTGAAACCAAAAGGGAGTGGAGGGATATATCTAATACGAAGTAGTAATAACCTCCAATGAAGGTGTTCACGCCCAAGTTAAGATCCAAAGACTGATTCCACCAAAGATGACACGGTGCAGGATGAAGCAGAATCAGCAAGAATCTGATGGAGGGCTAGTGAGCACGATTTCAGATTACCTTTTCTGCCAAAAGGTAATATCAAGAACCCTTTTTGATCGCTCCCACAGGTGGAGATCGAACTGGTATGGCGGCAAGAGCAGGAGAGAAGGAGACAGTGCAGTCAAATTGTGTTATCTCTCTCTGGAATTCAGCAGTCAGTCAGATGATTTCTGTTGTGTCCTGAGGGTTCGCCTTGCTCTCCTATTTATAGCCTTAAAGAGAGGTTCTCCTAATCCCATTAGGAGTTTCCTAATCCAAATCTTGTATTTGGATCTGGACTCTCTTTAAGAGATAAGGGTAATCCCTTATCTTATTTGTAGATAAATATCAGCCCTCCTAATCTAATTAGGAGTTTCCTGATCCAAATCTTTATTTGGATCTGGA